CGAAACGTCAGCCTTCCTGCTCCTCTGATGCTGCTTGGCCTGCTGTGTTCATCCAGCTCTACACCTTGTTATCTCATGCACTCCATCTTACCTCCCTTTTACAACTAGGGATAAGACACTGTCCACTGTGACAGTGCAACTCACAGCAGTGAGGATGCACATGACAGCAACTCGCAAAAATTGACACTTGGAGTTTTTGCTTTTTCTGCATGGGAAAACCTTTGCAACGCAGCTTTTCCTTCCCTCCCCCATGAGGAACCACCAACAGCAGAGTGGACAGAAACTATTTTCTGACATTTTATGTTGGAATATGAATATCCTGTTCTAACCCACCTCAACTTCTTATTTTAGAAAAAGGTGCACATAAAACAAGGGAAGAAATCAGAACATAAAACAATATGAATATTTAAACAATTGAACTTTTGTAAGCAATCCCAATACTTTTACTGTAACAACTAATTAAACATACAAGCAAAAATATATATAAAATTTAAATAATTTTGCTCTAGACACTACTGACACACTGTACCAATTCTTACAACTTATTTTCACTGGTGTTATTCTTCTTCAGCTGGTAATTGCAATAACTCATCAGAAAACAATGAGGTAGAAGGTTGGGATAAATAAGAAGTTGAACGTGAGCATAATTATTGCTCAAAATAATATCTCATACCTTGATCAAAAACTATACTGCCAGAAGGCAGCTGGGTATAGGTGGGGGTGTCTTTGAAAATGGGTTGCAGTGCTTACAATGCACACTTCTAATCAAGTTTTTCTGTAATGCCCCATTATAGTTACTGATTAGGGTTTAACTGCTGTACAGAGAATATCTCGACTTGTCATCACCATTAATTGTCAACAGAGGTTGTGATTCTGGGCTAACATGAAAATGAACTTTGAGATGTAAAATTTCAGGAAATCATTGTTAATGATGTTAATTGTAGAGTAACCGGCAAGTCTACACAAGTTAACACAAGATTGATTGCACTTCTTTGGGTAGTGTCAGGCCGCTCATACAAGGAATCAAAGTACTCTACTGACCACAGTTACTGTATGCAAGGCTGGTTCCAAACATTGCTATATGTCAACTCACCTGAGGATTTAATCTCTGCACTCTGGCCAAGTTCACGAAAAACACTGTATTTGTCGCCAAAATCTAAACAAAAATTTAAACCCAGTCATTATAGATTCAAGTAGATTGTATCTTCTCAACTTATTGCATTAACAATGATGCACTGAAGTAACAACTCAGTGCAAAAGATTTTCCTGCTAAAATATTATAAACCCTCAATAATTGAGTTGTCAGTTTATAACAGTGTTAATCTGAAAAACTCACACTTTTACTGCCTCATCAAAATATCTCGGAAAACCCTTTCTGTGTTGCATGGTTCTATCATGGAGGCAGCTGATATTGGTAATTATAAACGATAATAGATGCCTGAAAGGTGAACTGCTCCACCATCTCCCAACTTGAGGTTTACACATGTGTAAACCAGAAAGAAGCATATTAAGGCACCATAGATATCTCCTTAATAGAGAGGTGGAGAAAAACAAAGAATTTTCTTTTGTTCAAACTTGTAATGACTGAAAAAATTGTCCTTTTCTGACTGTTCTATTAATTAGTATGAAATATGAAATTAGAAGAAGTACTAAGCAAATAACACTACATAATTTCTTTTTGAGAAATTTGACGCATATTTTAACCCAATTTAATCATCCATATTATAAAGAATAGGATGGGTGCATATTGCCTTTCTTGAGCGCACAATCACTGTAATTGGGGAACGATTCCCTTCGGTACAATTTTTAAATACTCAACTTTAGAATGAAATGTTAGAAGACAGTCCACTCTACCTGCAAATGAAGAGCTTTCTGCAGGCTTGTCTTCTGTCAAGTCCTTAAAGACAGCATATTTGTCCACTGAAGAAGGTGCAGAGGTTCCTGAAATTGGGGTCAGTAACGTGTGTGCGCTGAAAGAGAGAGAATTGAAATAATTTTGGGGATAACTCAAATGTCACTGTTTATTAAAAGTATGTGGAAGAACTTCCAGTAACTACTTGTTTTCCAAAGTTACAATTACAAGCATTTGTTCATGATACAAACAAAACAAAGAAAGCCCTCCTCACTTATGGTCTCTAATCCCACTTGCAAAATTGACCAAATGTCATTAGTACCCCATTAATTCTTAAAATAACTCAGCACTCCAAAAGGAGCACATTTACTTTACTGCCCTTTGAAGGGCAGGAAGCGAAATCCCAAATGAAAATACAAGTCTCTACATGACTTCTCAGCAAAAAGGGAAAAGTAAAATCAATGGCTCAAAGTGCTTATGTCAGAATGAGGGGGAGCAGCTAATTACCAATATCATATCAAAATTAATGAAAAATGGCATAAGTCAAATGAAATGTACAGTAAGTAATAATGAATGGTTTTCAGTTTTCATTTTATACCATTATCTTTGATGGACGGAAATGTTTACCACAATTACAACGGTTCAGAAACAGAGAGTAACTCTGAATTCTCCTTTCGTGTGTGCACATTTTCATACAGCATTTTTATAAAAGCTGTGATAACTTCCACCTCATCACCACTAATATCCTTTTCACAAATCTTCAGATTGTAATGAAATATGTCATCTATATTTGCACAGCTCATACAGCTCTGCGTGGTTAAAGTCTAAATTTAGGCGGTATCGTTAAATATTTTGAGAGTCACATCCTTAACCTCATTTGAAATATTTTCGACTGAGGCAGAAGCCTGCAGTAACACATTGCATCACCAATCATCACTGGCCCAACGATTACATCACTAAGGCTTTTCATTGTATTATGCACTGATCCATACAGTTTTTGTTTTAAACTTTTAATTTTCAGCATAAATGGAAATGGGGCTGCTACTCAATTTCCCTTTCACCTTTATATGAATAAAGATATTTGAGGAAGATGTTCCAATTAGAATCTCATCATTAACATGAATTATTCCCATAAGGGAGAAACAGAAAGAAAACTAGGTGCTGGAGGATGCAATGAAGAAAGCAGTGCATGGATAAGTAACCACACAAAAACAGAAATTTTCAGGCAGACAAAAACAAACTTATAAAAGGGACATGAATCATACACTATGCAGAGAGAACATTTACAAAGGGATCAGAAGAATTACACAAACTGCACAAGTTTGACAAAGAAAGAGAACATACAGCAGATTCAAAAGCTAATAGTAGAGATAATCTTGGTGTCAGAATCACAGAATTGTGAAGCACAGAAGGAGGCCATTCAGAATAAGTCAGTTAACTCTTTTGGTTTACTATATTGGCCACTGGAATATCACTTGGTTAGATCTAACTATGCAGATAACTAGCACATGTCAATAGGTCAGACCTGATTGTGCTCTGTGAGGTTGCTGTTTTTGATAAGCTTCCAGAGGTTTCATTCTTGAATCCCTTGAATGAGTCATCAACTGTGCTGGGCTTGGGAGCCTCCTGAAACTCCTGGAAATCATCATCGTCAGATTTTGCAGGCTGGATAAAGGGAAAGTTTTAGTTTTTACACATGTTAAACCTCAGAATTATTGTTCAGTTACTCCTACTGCATTGATTTGCACGCTGTTTTTGAATATCTCAAAACTTACTAGGTATATTCACAACGTAACTGGTATCCCATGTAGATGCTTTAACCAGTGAGTCAAAACACAAATAATCCACGAGCAGCTTGCAATTTTTTAACATGCAACACAGTGAATTAGATACTTTAATCTTCACACAATTTCACCAGAAGTCAAGATTACAGAGGTTAAAGAGGCTCTAGTCCTAAAACTGAAGACCACCTTAAAATTGCATAAAGCCACAGTGCTTTGAGAAAGAACAAGAAAATGTTTGAAACAGACAGCAAAGAGAAGTAGCAGGTTAATGCAGGATCTGCTCTGCCTTTCCTCTTCTTAGATGCTAATGAACTAGCATTTCGTGCTTTTTTTCCTTCAAAATTTCTAGCCAGTTTTTTATTAAAAAGAGTTGATTCACTGATCAGACAGAAAACCATGGCATTTGAGCTTACATTTTCCTAAATTACCAGCCCATGAATGACATCTCAGGGAATCAACCCTTTTACTTTCACTTTTTGACCAGGCAAGTTAGATACTTAGTTTAAATGAAAGGCTATAAGATATCAAACGAGCCATCAGAAGAATCTGAATGATTCTTTTAAAAATCCTGGTAAGTGACTCAAAAATTAACATTCTTGGTTTACTTTTATGGGAAACCTCGACAATTCACATGAACTGACTGTTGCAAACATTAGTTTAAGGAATCTAGCCTCCAATAGACATTCTTATTAAAATATCTAGTGTTGTGAAAAACGCATTCATTATACAGCTAATTTTTTAAAACAAAAGTTGTTGACTTGAAAGCCTTGATCTCTATTCTCTAATAATGCTTTTCATTGAATAGTCATTCCTTTTTCCAGTGATAACCATACAACTGTTATTTCTTCTGGTTGTGCTTCACTGGTCTGCCAAAACAAATCAGAGCCCTTGGGCAGTTACAGCAGTTCAAAAATTAAAATAAAACTGGAAAACACAAATGTTTAAAACAAATAAAACAACTGCATAAACAAAACATACACCAGTGGAGAGGGAAACATCAACCAGGATCCCCAGCTTCTGATCAGTGCCCACTAATAGAAATCGTACGTGTGTGGGCACACTGAGTAAGAACAGGATTGGGTTCAGTCACAAAGGATACTTCAGGAGCAAATAGCCATGTCTGGGCTCACAAATGAAAATAGTTATTTGTGTAAGGTATTGCAATGGCTTTCATTACCTGTAGAACTGTACCCTAACACAAAGCCAACAATTTGAGAACAGGATGCAGTCCAACAAGTTGACATGAAAAGCTGAAAACTGACGTATAGATTTCTAAAGGTTTACTAGAAGTTACCACATAGCTTTCAGAACTCAGTCAGTAATTTATATCACATAGCATCATGCATTATAAGACAATTCATGAATCTATTCAAAATACTTCAAGGAGTAAATATGGAATCAGCAGCAAGGCAGAATGGAGAAAAATCGACTCAATTTTCTCAGACATTGACTTAAAACGGCTGTTTCTCTTTCCTGCGTTCAGTTGTTTTCCATTGAAAGCTTTCTTTCCTTTTAGTTTTTATTTTTGTAGGTCTTTTAGAGTCAGCTGCAATTGTGTTCAACTTTTTCAAAATTCTATTCTTGTTTCTATATATTACCTCAAGCGTATTAGATTTAGAAGGGATTGCTCTCCTGTTGAGAATACTGAATGTAGGTGAAGGGTCCTACTGTATATTCACAGTTAAGGTCAAGGTAACAGGATGTTACAGGTGACTACCTCAGCACTAGTCCTTATTTTCACTAATAATTTATAATACTATCTTAATCAGTTCGCAATCACAGAATTACAACAGGTTTTTGAAACTAATTTATTGTTTTCTTGAACTAAAAATGGCTGCATAAGAATACAATTCGTAGTTACCTGGCTGCCAGGGAAAGAGGTCACAAAACCACTGGAAACTTGGGTCGTACTGCCACCTACAGGAAGATTCATTCCTACCACAGACTGGCCCGGATGCACAGACATAGATGCACTTCCACCGGTTGGCACCGATATCATAGGTTGCTGTGGCACTGAAGTAGGCAAAGTCAATGGAGTCCCACTTAATGTAGGTATAGGAGGAGATGGAAACTGGTTGAGATTTTCAAGATTCAGCGCAGGTACGCCTCTCTGGGGGTGAAAAAAAGTAGTATTAGAAAACAGAATTATAAATCACAATGGACAAATTACAGATTTTTTCCCCCATAATATCCCAGTATAAAATGCTACCTTATATCAAATCAGGCTTCTGAAATTTCCAATTAAATCTGATTACTTACCAAGCATAATATTTTATATAGTTAATGGGCGTAATGCCCTTTACTTACAAAAAGATTGCCATTGTGATAGGCAATCTTATGTCAGTAATTCCATTGTTAATTATTCACTGTCATGGATAAGAGCTGCCAGGTTACTGTTGATGATTAATTGTGATCCAACACTACTTGTTCAAAGGAAGACTACTCATATTTTTAAATATGAATAGTCTTCCTTTGAAAAATTAGTGTTGGATCACAATTAATCATCAACAGTAACCTGGCAGCTCTTATTTTTAAATATGAATATAGCACATGTTACTAAAAAGATTCAGACATCATCAAAATCTGAGATCTATAAAGGATAGGCAACAGAAGAGAAAATTTCATGAATTTCATAACATACATAACATATACATTTTACTTTCCCACATCAGATATTGGTTATGTCGCTTTTCCATTTTACTTGCTCCAAACCTATCTTTTATTTCATTACTTGCCCCATTACCATCTCTCTCTAACCTGCACCATCATCTGATTTGTCATTTAGTCTCTCCTGCCTTCCACGCTATCTCAGACTTTCCCCTTTGTTCCTGCTTTACTCATACTTCCCCAACCATTTTCCTGCCTTCCTGAGGAACGATTACATCTCCAGTAATCCCAACTGACAGAGGGTTCAAAACGTGAAACTCTTTTCATCTCCCCAGAGGTGGACAGATAAGCTGAGTATTTACAGCAATTTTAGTTTTTCTCAGATTTCTACCATCCATAGTATTTTGTTGTTGCATCCAAAAAAATTGTAAATTGTAAATAAATTGTATAATTTCAACCCAATAATCTGTAGCAAGATGCTAAGCATCAGTTAGCAGTTCCTCAACATCCATATGAACACCTGAATCACATTACTAAGACAATCCCAAGTGTCTAATATTCTTCACACTAAATTTAAAAACAAAAAAAGTGCATTCACCAATCATCTGGTACACCTTAAATCCAAATATTCTGTAATATAAACAGTTAATTTGAAAATTATAAAAAAGCAAATCCAACTGATTGAAATAATGAGTCAATTTATGTGCAAAGTGAACAACGTCACACTACCTGCGACATAGCTATCATAGCCAATACAGTGTAGAGCTCCTCTTTTGTAAGTTTGCCTGGTGTTGCTCGATTGGCAAAAGCCCATATCTGACCCAGAATCTCCCTTGGTAAGCCAGACGAGAGAAGAATTGGGTAAAGCTTTGCTGTATCAATGCCCGCTGGGGTAAGAGTAGCTTCTAGAACTTTCTTGTAGAGTTCTGTTGAAATACGTTTTGTAAATTTGGACATCAGGAATGCATTTGAAGCCACATTAACATTCAAACCCCAACCTCATGCATTGTGCTGAGTTGCAAGATCAGTAAATCTATCTATAACCCAACAACCAAGATATCACTGTAAATATGATACAAATAAGAATACTGGGGAGTAGGAGGAATTTACAAATGACCGAAGTCAGAAAGTGCATGTGGGTTTAAATTATAATTAACTTGCTTGGGATATACCACATACAGTCTGATTGTTTAAACATGTAATTGTCATGGAATGAAAACTATAAAGTCAGATCGCACATCTGACTGTTATACACTATGAATTCTGACCAAGGTCAACATTAATCACCACTTTCAGCTAGCATTTTAAACAAGCATGAAGTATACTATACCTGGGACAAGACTGTCATTGAAAAGCCAAGGTGGTAACATTGGCTGAATTGTTTCCTGTGTTGGGTACACTCCTACACCAAAGGAATAAAATAAATGAACAATTATATAGGAGCACATAATGACATATATGCAAGTCTTATCTCAAAAAATACTTTTAAAATGAAAGCAACATTGTAGTATGTTCAATCAACCTGCTGGGCTCCAGTTCAAAATTTCTGAAAAATGTCCAGAGAGATTAGTTAGATGAAATAAAGGAATTAATATATTTGAGTTCTTTGTTTTTAACACATTTTAAGAGTACTATATTTTCATTTATCAGTTTCTTTCCTCATTGGCTGACAAATTGAAAGTGCAGGATCAAGTGTGGAATATTTCATTAAATTGTGCAAGACTGTTATAACTTTCTACGGGAATTCAGTCAGTTACTTTTCACAATAGGAGCCGGTGTGCTCCTCTGAGGGTGCCAGCCCTTCACTGAATTCATGCAATGCCCCATTCTCCATAGACTCCAAAACTCCCCCCAATTTCACCTTGAACCAGCAGGAAGTACAAGAATCAGCATAATAACTTTCTCTTCTAGCTTTCACCTGACCTCAGCCCATTACATCTCCACAGAGCAAACAGATGAGGAGCAAAGGAATCATGGATTCAAAACCACACCCTTCATATTGTAGTGCTGCAACCTATTATGGTAAGGAGGCATCAATACACTGCAACCCACTTCCATTTTTAAAATAATTAAATTGCCTGCTCAAAGGAATTTGAGATATACTTTGACCCATAATATACACGTTTGTAAATATAGTTGCATCACTAGATTGCTGATCAGATCCTTTACCAGAGCCATCTGATTGATATGTTTATAAATCTGTACTCTGGGATCCCTCGTTGACTTGCAAATACCAAAATCAATGAAACCTGACAAGACTTCAACGATGAGTAGGAAATTCATGCTTTAGCTAAAGTTTCAAGTAAGTAATACCCGAGTAATAATTGCGTGAATGTAGAGCTTAAAACACAATAAGTGAGTGCCAAGTTGATAATCTCATTACATTAAACATGAGTAGTGGTATAATGAACAGAATAATTTTGGTGGGCATGTACTGAACTGCATATGACAAAAATGAGATTATAATGGGAATAGAATCTTTAATTTATCCAAGATAACAAGGTGTAGAGCTGGATGAACACAGCAGGCCAAGCAGCATCAGAGGAGCAGGAAGGCTGACGTTTCGGGCCTAGACCCTTCTTCAGATTTCTTGTTATCTCAGATTCTCCAGCATCTGCAGTTCCTGCTATCTCTTTAATTTATCCATGTCATTTATTTAGCAATCCCTTTAAATCATTGGGACGGCACGGTGGCTCAGTGGTCAGCACTGCTGCCTCACAGCGCCAGGGACCCGGGTTCGATTCCACCCTTGGGTGACTGTCTGTGTGGAGTTTGCACATTCTCCCCGTGTCTGCGTGGGTTTCCTCTGGATGCTCCAGTTTCCTCCCACAGTCCAAAGATGTGCATGCTAGGTGGATTGGCCACGCTAAATTGCCCATAGTGTTCAGGGATGTGTAAATTCGGTGGGTTATAGCGGGGTGGGTCTGGGTGGGATGCTTTGAGGTTCAGTGTGGACTGGTTGGGCCGAAGGGCCTGTTTCCACACTGTAGGGATTCTATGATGATTCTATGATTTGAGGCAAAATATTAACAAGGGTTTTTTTTTAAAATGAGAGGAGATGGAGCAGGTACAATCAAATACAAATCACACATAGAAGCTTTTGCCTGAAACTCTCTGGCAGCTAAAACTTTCAAAAAGCACCTATCTTCTCATCTCAAAGCACTTGCAAAATTATTCCAGGCATATTTGCTAAGAATTACAATTCTAATAATCTGGAGTCAACAATCAGAAATACAAAGAACAATACAAGATAATTTAATTTAAAACCATTGAGTCAATCAAACATGAATCTCAAGAACTTTAACTAAGAAGAAATACATTCACCCCTGAACTGCTGCACATCTATATCAATATACCAAAACTCATCAAACCCAGTCAAGAACACATTGCATGGATATTAAATGTAGAGATTTATCTAGTATTACCTTTACAACCATAGCTCAAAGACACTTACTGCAAGAGATATTTATATTTCTCTTTCTGACTGACTACAGCACATGCAACAACTAAACTTTACATGTAAACATACAATGTATGCAACTTTTTTATTGATATGTTGATCAATAACTTGATCACAAGGAAACCTATTTTACACAAATTAGTAAAACAGTATTACTTGAACAAGTTCAATGGAAGTTGAACATAAGGAAATCATAATAGATCACAAAGACAACTGCATGATAAGAAAAGTTCAAGAAGGAATGTTGATGGATTAACAAAACTAGAAAAACTGAAATTAAAATTATATTTTTCCTGATTTTGCAGAATCCTGGTAAATGATTGAAGAAAATTTTAAAAAAAGCAAGTTTGCTCACCACTCTCTTTGGCAGCTGTCTCTGGTTCGGGATCCTTTGGCCTGTCTGTTGTGAATACACCAGCGAGGTTTTCAGTTTGGATGGCCCAGTTACAGGCCTTGGCACTGGGCTGAAACTGAGTTGAGACTGAGGCTTTAGACCCAATGTCAGCCAAGGGTTGAGACTGGTTAAATTTAACATTTGCCTGCTTAGGCATGCTGAGATCACAGGAAGCAAACATTTTCTCCTCCAATGAAGGGCCTAAATAAACAGGAGGTGGAAGAAGTGTTTCCTAGCTTAGTAAAGCAAAACACACAAAACTATGCTTCATTGACGTCTCAGAATCTAAGATTACGCGCCCCAATCCCTGAAGAAGTAGTATCAAATATTTATAATTTTTTTTTAGAAAATCAAATGCTTTGCTTTTGCACAAAGAACCAAAAAGCCTAAAAACTGTTCATTGCAAATATGTTTTATCAGGTGAAGAAAATTAATAAACTAGTTTGAAGAATTTAAAATGCATAAATCACAAATCTCAGATTGTTTTAAAAGCACAAAGTTTTGTATAATTTAAAATAAGTTTTGCACTTGTTACCTTGGCTGTTTTTTGCTGAGTGCCCTGCTGTAGCATACAATGAAACTGCAGCTGAGGGACGGGCTGAAGCAACAGGCTGCGCTGGAACTGCAGCCTTCTCAGACTGCAGCCCAGACTGTAATGTGGGGTGGAAGGGTTGGAAAGACTGGAAACTGGTGGGAGCCGCAGGTGCGGCAGATTCAGGCCCTTGAATAAAGTCACTGAATTCTTCATCGTCAGGAAAGGCAGGGGATTGGGAAGGAGGGGCAGCTGATAGGGATGACTGGGGAGCATCTGTAAAAATGGATAAATCAAAATAAGGCAACATAGAAATCAAGCAAACTAAAAGAATTAAAAAAAACAGGTACACAAAGGTAAATGAGAATAAAAAAAATGCTCTAAACAAGAAACAATACGTCTACTTCTAAAAGCATGATAGAAAACAAACTATGACAGCTTTGTCCAAAATGAAGACTAAGAATTTACTTATACAAAAAACTCGCTCTCTTCCAAATCCTAGAAATAAATCCTCATTTTTGTTCACATGCAAAAGAACCGATATCATATATACTCATGTAAAAGTCAAGTTTCTGAGACTAAATGTTTAGCCAAAAAGGTAACATCAATGAGTAATATCTTCATGAGGTTGAAATCCAGTCTCTCCCATCATCTAATTACATTTGTTGCATCAGCAAATCATAGCATTGCCAGGTTAGAGTGTGACAAACCCACACCTAAAACAAGTGCAAAAGAAACCAAAAAAACATCTTTATTATTCTGTGCAGACATGAGAATCTGAACAGTAACCTTCCAAACATTAGGTTTGCATTAGGTCAAGTATGAATTTTGCAGTGGGCAGATAAGTAGAATGAATTTAGACCTTTTGGCCAAAAGTTGGTGGTTGACTTTTACACAAGTTTGACTGTTACTTGAGAATATACAGTAACTGTGTGAAACCAATAAGGTGGTTAGTAAGTTAAAGCATGAAGGCCAGGACAAACATTGCCAATGCAGACAGCCATTTAATGAAAATGCAATACTGCACAAGAAACGATTCCAAAGACAGGAAACAAAGCTTCAGCAATTGTTGGGCTCAACAAATACAGATAATTCACACCTGGTGCTGAAGAGAACAACACAGCAGCAGCAACCGCAATCCCATAAATCTATTTAATTTCCATAAAATCAACTGTTTCCTTGTTAAAAAAAATTCTGAAGTTATATTGTTTATAAATCACATCAGTTTTCATTTACTGGATTTATGCTAACTAAACTAGTTCTTGAATATGTTGTATTACACAAAGGCAACAAAGTTTCCAATAACTGAAATAACGGTGAAAGTTCTGTAAATTGGATAAGTGTTAACAAGTTTGGTTTGCAACTAACAAATTATTTCCATTGTGGTAGAAGCAGCAACAAAGCTTTTGGAAGAGAGATGAGTATTAGACATTGCGACGAGACCAAACAGTTACCTGGGCATCACTGTCTCTGGACCTGGCACCCAGTTTTTAATTTGAGTAAATTTCTCAAGTATATTTACAATGAATGTTAAAAACATTAATTCCCCTCCTGACAGCTGGTACATATAAGAGCCAATTAAGCAACTTGATACATACATGCTCCGCTAGAACAAAATTAGAATGGTGTAAATTAGCAACATGACAATGCTGACTAGCTGTTCCGAATCATTTCTAGAAAAAAATCTACACAGTAGGCACATTATGAACATTTAAAATAATAGCGCTGGTCTGCAAATTAAGCATGATTTGGATGCAGATTACTGCAATAAAAATGTAAAATAACATCTTAGCAATAGTTTAGGAAAAAAATGACAAATTCAAAGTCAAGAGAACATTATGCTGTTATCTTCTTTTCTTTCAGTATTTTCTTTCAACTAACTGATTAAGGCTTCTCTCCAGCTAGTCTGTTTCTCATTTTATTGAAGTGTTGGAACAACCAACCATAACTGTACCAAGTCAGAAATGATCTCCAAAGATGGCAGCAGATTCTAATTGTAATTACAATTCCCTCATCCCTAGAGTCTTACAAAACACAGCCAAGATTGCAGGGAAGCAAAAAGGTTTGTGTAAACTTGTTAGTATTCTTAACACATGAGAAAGCACAAATCATATTCCCTAGTCTTATTAACAAACTCGGAGCCATGCTGTTAGATGCAGTCTGGCTGATAGAACAGATTAGATGCAACCATAAATGATGAAATAGCGAGTTAGATTTCCACGTTTATTACAAACCATATAACTGTAATCTTATGTTAAAAACATACAAATAAATGCAGGAATTCATCCAATGTAGTAACACTGCACATTTATACACGATATTGAGGACAGGACGTTACAATCGTTTCAAAAGCACAAAACATCTTGGCATTGAGGATAGGTGCCTTAGGCAAAGAGAGTTAAACAAATAAATAATTGCTCTAACTCATAAGGATACCGCACCAGGAGCAAAAGAGGCTTGTTTTACAGTATTTGAAATCTGTATTAAGAGGGCAGCCTGTGTTTAAAATTATAAACTGTATCAAAAATGCTGGAATATAGATCCATGGTTTACACTTCAAGCCAAAATTTTTGATCCTGCTTGGTAGGGTCACATTCAATGTTTCGGAGGTTACCTCATGCCTCACACACATCCACAAAAGGAAAAACAGATTGTATTTCTTCAGCTAGCCATGACTGTTGAGCCCAATTTTTGTGCTCCCATCACTGCCCACTTGAAGACTGTTAACTCAACATGTACCAGAGATCAGGCCTTGGACCTTCATATTCTAAATGGCTGACTAATACAACAATCATTGAATTTTTCAAATAGGCCATTGAAACAACCTTTCTTTGGTCAGGAGAGGGCAGAGATTGGGATAGTTGGGGATGAGGGGTAAACAGAGGCTTAACAGAGGTAAACAGAGGGGTAAACTAAGTCAGGAAGCCAGAAAGCCAGACTCCCAGTAGTAGGTTGCACAGTGAGAAAGGCCTTTGCAGTTGGTTACTGGTGCAAGGTTGTGGGGGGGTCACAAAAACCGAACAACTTGATATTTTCAAAATATGTTTCCAAAAGTTTCCAACTACAATGAGAAGATCAAAATGAAGTTCTTTTGTCCATGGCATACTTAAAATTCCAATTTATTGTTTAAAGGCCTTTAGTTAATCAATAACTATTTTTTCCCTCAGACCTTAAAAGATTGTAATTTAGACAGAACTTTCAGGGCGCCCTCGATTGCCTTGCTAAGTCATTGGCTGATAAATATCTCCTACTTGTTACCTAAAATTTAAGTCCCACACCTTCCCTGTTCAATAACGAGCATCTGATGGAATATGGGAAGCATAAAATTCCCATTCAATCCAATCAAGGAAATTCAGTAAGAGGTGGTCTGCAAAGAGACAAATCAACATCCTATTCATTACCATAGGCTGATGAGCAGCAGAAAATGATTCCTGCTCAGTACCAGATGAATATGCCTGAGCACTGGGGAAGAGAAGGAAAGAATGATTGTTTTATTTAAGGTCAGTAAAGCTCTTTCCACAATTTATCTCACGGAAAAGAGCATCGTTTCGTCAGATCAGATTCTAGAAACTTGTAACCATGTGAGTCATTTGCTATTGGAGGAAGTTTTATTCTTTTATGTAAATACTGTTACCTGATTTATTAGGAAGTGAAGAAGGGCCTGGGTGCATCTTTGCATCCCTTGTGAATCCAGCAAGGTTTCCTTTAATGGCTTCCAAGGCATCATCCCGGTTCTTTTCCCCAAGCTGAAAGCAGAATGAAACAGAAATTGGTGGATTTGTTTTAAATGATAATGAAGCCATGGCATTAAATCTAGAAATAGTATTTCTAAACAAAGAAAATAACATTTTTCTTTTATCTTAATTAAAATGTAAAAAGAAAACTAGGAAGAATTTCATATAAGGTATGTTTTCTAATACCCTCGAAATTCTAGTTTCTTTTTGCAGATGTTCTAAATGAAGATGCAAAAGACTTTATTTTCTCCTCAGGGACAAAACAACAGGCAATCGAAAAATCTGAGGAAATATATGTCTACGCCTACTAAGGAAACTGTAGAAATCTGATTACAGATCAATCTTATCCAAGGTATAATGAGATGGGGAAGAGAATTACTTGTATTGTTCTCTATTATTTGAAACTGAAAAAAAACTGCCTACTTTCAACCATGGAGCAGTAATAAGCAGAAATCCCCTCAGAGTCAGGAAGACTACATATGGCTATTCTCTCAACTCTCAGCAGTTGATTTTATAGCTGCACTGGCAGAGGCCTGTCAAGCAGGCTGCCCATCAAGTTCTGAGTCTAGAAAGCACAGCCTGACAGAGAAAGTCAAATGGCAATGAAATAAACCCTGAATTATACAAAATGAAAATAAAGTCAGCCTGTCAAGTTTGATCACTCAAAAATGATGTACAATTTCTATTATCATTGATTCATCCAATTTCTTGACTGGTAAATTGCATCACAGTCATCTTTAATAGCTCTCATTCCTCATTAGGGAAAAAACCTCAGGCTATTCATTTAATTTAATACACTATTTAACTTTGACAAGTTACATTCTATACTTTTGCATGGTTCGATAAACACGATCCACTTTTTGTACCAATTAGGTAATCTGTCTATACTTATAACCATCAACTCCATTCTTGAATAGTAGCATCCAAACTTTTTTTTTTTTAAAAAGTTGATAGATGGAATTAATCTGGAATTAAAGAGTCCAATCACGTTCATGAAACCATTGTCAATTGTTGGAAAAAACACATCTGGTTCACTAGTGTACTTTAGGGAAGCCATTTGCTACCCTTACCCAGCCTGACCTATGTGTGACTGCAGACCCAAAGCAATGTGGCTGATACTTAAAAGGGGCACTTAACCCAATGAGGGATGAGCAATAAATGCTGGCCTAGCCAATGCCAATGTCTGTTAATGAATGTTTAAAAAATTAGAAACAACTTCATACAAAGTATGCTTTTTAAATACTCTAATACCCTGTTCGTCAGGTCCTAGGTTCTTCATAGAGGAAGCCATGCTGTTCAGCTTTCTAATAACTCTTAAGTTCCAGTTCAATTAAAGTCTATGGGCTAATGTGAGTGTATCAAACAGCTGCCATTCCTTATTCACAGCTAACAGTAAAACCCAGACTATAATTATGAATGACTACATTTCCTTGAAGCTGTTGGTTGTAAATTTGGGTGTACTCAGCCAAATGACTAAATTATGTGTAAATTTCAACATGGGTAACAGCAGTCTACCTAATCATGATTAGCATCACTGCCAAACTCCATCCTGTGTCCACTGTATATTCACACATACATTTCCAAAAGGAGTTAATTAGAATTGAGAACCTTATCCTATGTTTCACTTGCTAACTTTCTGGCTAATTGCATCAACCCTACTTGCATCAATCCTGCTGTCACCCCTTAAAGTTCAGTTAATACAGGACAATCTGAATATAAAATCCAGCACCTTCCTGAGCTCTACTCACTGATCAAACTGGTTAAGTCATCAGGGTATGTCTTTTTAAATGTTTGAAGATTCTAATCTGTTTTTCTTCACAGTAATCAAACCTGGTTCTGAGTCTCTCTTTGTTCTAAGCCTTCTTGTCTCAGCTCAATCCAATCCAACAAGACTTCTTTTGAAAGAACTGTGCATCAGATTACACAGAACATAATCTAATCATAAATTACAATAGATTAAAATATGCAGTTTTTATTTATGCAGAGATAAGACTCAAGCATTTTCTTTGCAAATAAACTGAACCATCTGGAATAAAAGCACATGTATAATAGTGCTGCGAAATACCTTAGGCTTCACACTACTCAGAAGACGCAACTTTTGTTTCTGTTCTTCGAACTGCCGTCGCTTTCGCTCCTCTTCCATCAGCTTTTGCTGCTGTTCAAATCGTTTCCTAAAGAAACATAAGTAACAAATTTCTCAATATCTGTGCATGATTACCGTGATATTGCAAACATCTCTGGGCTAACCTATTTCTTATTCTTCATTTTATGATAAAATTGTCTAATAAAAACAGTTTAAATTACAATAACTGGGGTTACCCTGTATCAAAATGTCATTCATTTCAACACAAATATTTCAATCAAAGATCAAGAATTTCTCACCATTTTATTATTCTCAAGTACTGTCGACATTTGGAGAGTACAAATAGCTATGAGCAC